GTTACACCTGATCTTACGATCTACATACAAAAATTTCCTTTTTTTGGTTTGTATCACGGTGGGAAATAAGGGCACGCGAGAGACCCGTCTTACAAATGTTAACCTTTATTCAAATTCCCTAATGAGGGTAATAATTACGTCAATATTTACGTACTGTATCTGGCTTGGTTTTGTATTACCGGACAAATACCGTAAATTCTCCCGATTCAATGATTAAATTAGCAAGTGCCACCAAGAAAACAGATGATGATATTAGAGTCACGTACGTACGTAAGTTGAAAAAAAAATTTTATTATAAACAAATATATATATATATATATATATATATTATATAAATACTGTATATTACACCTACGTGTTTATAATACAATTCGATTTTCGTAATCGTTTTTATAAAACAAAAAAAAACGTAAAACTGTTAAAAATTATATTATTATAATTTTGATTTAAAGCCAAATAAGACAGAGAATAATGAAAGCTTATATTAACCATAGTAATATCCTACCGATATCACTCCGTAACTATTTTCCAAAAATTATTCCAGTTCCAAAATTAGTATGAATTAAAAACTACTTTATTTAAACTATCACAGACTTCGATGCGTTTTACTTAGTGGTTAATAAATGAGTGAACTCCGTAAAGATGAGTATCTATCTAGATTAAAATTTTTAGATCTGATCTAAAAATCTAAAATCAATCTACTTAAGGCAGTAAAATAGTATATAACGAGCCATCGAAAAGCTTACTTTTTTTGTATGCCAACTAACTTATAATAACCAATTTAATCAAGTAAAAGAATATAAACTACCAAAATTATCAAATTTATTTTCGAAAAAAAACCAATTTAAAAAATATACTTTTACACCAATTCGCTTTTCAAAAAAAAAAGAATTTGCATCATTCGCTTCTTTTTTTTTTTTTTTAAAAAAAAAACCGAATTTGCTTTTCAAAAAATAAATAGAATCGCGTTTTATATTTTGACTAGCTTGACCATCAAAATGTCTGATAAATTTGAATCCGTTTTATCCTCATACCAAAGAAGCGGTCCTAATTGTCAGGGTGAAGATAAATCTATCATCCGAAAGACTGAATATGTGCATACGGCATGTGATATGTGTCGAAAAAAACCATTACAAATGTTCAGGACCACCAATATGCTTAAAATGCAAGACTCAAAACCTTTCTTGCAACTTTAATAAGTTCCAAAAAAAAAACGTGGACCTAAACCCAAATTCCATTTGGTTGATATTGATCTCGAACGTCTTGGCAGTAACAACCTTGTGCATCGCATAGTAGGGATTCAAAGAAACTTGGTAACTATGGAGATTATTCAAGTTTTCGACGACACAAAAAAAGATTTAATTACAGAATTGATAAGCCTGTTTAATATTATGGTTGGCGCTGGACTCTATTCATTAGAAAGCCCAACATCAATTCAAAGTAATGAGGGGGCTGCATTGCCCTTATATTTCTTGAACAAGTTTTATAACATGCCCACTGGGAACTATGAGATCGATTCATTCTGTTCACAAAATATTCATTCATCGATCAAAGAGGTTGTTGATAATTTCGTGGATAAAATTATTAGCAAGATATCAGTTTCTTAATTAACCTATTTTCAAGTAGATTTTGAATTCTGTATATTGAATCAACTTTAGTTTCAAATTTTAAAACAGTTTATATGGATTGTATTTTAAGATTGAAAGTTGCTTTTATTTATTTCATTAAAAATTATCTTCAACCAGCATTTAATGAGCATTTTTGAAATGAAAGCTTCAGATATGGATAATTAGAAGCACTGCAGTATTTCGAAAATTTATTGATAATCCTTATATCCACGCTCATCCCTTTTTTTTTTTTTATCTTTTATTTTATTTTTCATTTTATTCTTATTTTTTTATTCATTTTCTATTTCAATTTACAACAAAAATAAATAAATAAATAAATAAATTATATTGTAACACATTATTTTAGACGGTTTTAAACATTTAACCGTTCCATTTATTATTACATAATCTTAAATCTAAGTATTATTTTTGGCTTTTAAATTTAATAATAGAATCGCTTAAATATGCTAATCGTACAACTATGTGATGCCGGTAAATGAGCTGCTGGAGATAAGACAATGTGTACTAAATTATTCGGTTGCATAAAAATGCTTAATTAGCGTTAACGTTAAGGGAAGCATACTTTTTAGAAAGAGAATTTTCTTAGGCTTACCATTGCACGAGAACTTCTTAGGATGGAATTTGTTTAAATTTATTTTGTTGTGCAGAAACTTCATTAAGGCCACGCAAAGTTGATTTTTCGTTTTGCATTACCCGCCGTCCCATTTTTTCAATTTTTCAAAATTTTTTTTTT